TTAGATAAATTGGTAAAAATATATGTTGACGAGATAATCAGTTTATATGGGGCACCAGTAGCTATTGTTTCAAATAGAGATTCTCGTTTCACTTCTAAATTTTGGCCCAGTTTGCAGAAAGCTATGGGTACTAAACTTCATTTTAGTACAGTTTTTCATTCACAAATAGATGTTCAGTTAGAAAAAATTATTCAGACTCTGGAAGACATGTTACGAGCTTGTGTATACAGTTCAAAGGGAATTGGGATACTCATCTTTCTTTGATGGAGTTTGCTTATAATAATAGTTATCATTCGAGTATAGAAATGGCTCCTTTTGAAGTATTATATGGTAGGAAATGTAGAACTCCACTATGTTGGGATGAAGTTGGTGAAAGAAAGTTATTGGATCTTGAATATGTCCAGATTACTGCTGAGAAAGTAAAGATAATTAAAGAAAAGTTAAAGACAGCCCAAGATAGATAGAAGAACTATGCAGATAGATGCAGAAAAAATCTTGAATTTGATGTTGGAGATAGAATTTTCCTGCAATTGTCTCCATGGAAAGGTGTTATCAGATTTGGTAAACGAGGTAAATTGAGTCCGAGGTATATTGGCCCATATGAGATTGTTGAACGCATCGGTCCAGTTGCGTATCGATTGGATTTGCCAACAGAATTGTCTAGAATTCATGATGTATTCCATGTTTCTATGCTTCGTAAGTATATTCTAGATCCATCTCATGTTTTGGAATCACAACTAGTAGAACTGAAGGAAAATCTTACCTATGCAGGAAAATCAGTTCAGATATTGGATAGGAAGGAACATGTTTTGCGTAATAAGACTATTCCATTGGTTAAAGTCTTGTGGAGGAATCATGCTATAGAAGAAGCGACATGGGAAAGTGAAGAACAGATGCGTTCTCAATATCTCCAGATTTTTCGTACTTAGTTTATCGAATTTCAAGGATGAAATTCTTTTAAGGGGGTGAGTTTTGTAATACTCTAATCAATTCAAAAATAAAAGTCAAACTTAAAAAAAAATTCAAACTTCAAAAATAAAAAAATTACAAAAGATAAAAACCAAAATGGAAGGTGGTTATCAAACCAACCCATTTCCAATGTGTGTATATATAAATATATAATCCAAACCTTTAACATACACTTTACACACACCAAAACAAAAGAACGGACCAGAGAAGAAAAAGAGAGAAAAAGAGAAAGGAAAAAGAGGGGAAAAAAAAAAGAGGAAGAAAAAGAAGAAAAAAATAGAAATTTTTTGCCAACGTGTTAGAAATTAAGTGGTCTATACTATTAGGC